GGGTGCTTCTTGGCACGGGCTCCCGCTGCAGGGCCCTCCGCGCCCCCCGAAGGCAGGGCTGGTGCCCCCGGAAGGGGTGGCGCCTCCGTGCCTGGAGCCGCGCTCTCGGCGCCCCCCCCCCCCCCCCTCCCCACGGTTGGTGCCCTCGGGCCTGCACACCGCACTCGGGCGGCGAGCGGGGGGGATGGGCCGATTTCCCCACCACAGCTACGGTGTGGTTGGAGAGGGAGGAGGAGGGGGTATGAGAGAGGAAGGGAGGAGGAGGATGAGGGGAGGAGGGCGGCGTCCGGAGGGGCCCGGCGTCGGCGGCCTCCTGCGTACGAGTCGGTTTCGTCTCCTTATTCATATGAAGCTTCGTATTCGTACCATTCGTCCGTAGGCGGAGGCGAACACCCCAACCCTCCCTTCTCCCCCTTACCCAACCGTGGTGTGAGGTGGTAGGAGCTGGTGGGGCATCTCGGGCCCAGCAAAGCCCACCCAGCAATGGGGGGAAGTGACAAGGTCCGCCTGCGCGTCGACAAACCAGCGAGCCAAACATGTCCCCCGCTTCTGAGAAGGCTGAGAAGTTTCCTGGCCCTCTTCCCCGACGGCACAGACAACTTTCCAGGAGGCGCGAGGTCTTCTGAGGAGCTCCGCCGCCTTCTGAGAAGGACTTATCCTTCTCGCTTCCCCTCCTCGCTCGCTGCCGACACACCTGCCTGCACATCGGGGTGCAGGATCAAGTCGGGCAAATCCGGTGACGTTGTTTCGTGCTTTCTTGGCTATTCTCAGAGCGTGAATAACCTCCCCCGCTTTCGCTCGCTTCCAGACAAAACCAAGCCATACCACGCGCCTCCTTGTCAGGCGGCCTGACCAGTACAGGCCGTAGTTTGGCATCGTTTGGTATCTCTTGGAAGCGAGGGTGGTCAAAAGCGAGGTAGGTTTGTTTTCCTCCTATATTCTTGGTCATGGTTTGCCTGTTTTTCGTTTGACTCCAAACTCCGCCTGCAGGAGGACGTGCCCGACCGAAGTGCAGCATCGTGCCGCTGGGGGGTCTGCCGCTTGCGCAAGCAGACGAGAAAAAAAAACAAGGCCCTTGCACCCTCATCGTGCAGACTTCTGATACGGGCAGACTCTATTACTGATTATGGTGTGCCTCGTCTCTATGCTCCCTCCGAAAGCTCGGGCCGGACGAACGGGGGGGACTGGGAAAGGGGGGGGTACGACATCTGCTGCATGCAGCTGGTTTCGGCCCCACCGAGCGGCCCATTCCTCGATATGTGGCCGCCTCCGGCGCCGGGAGGCGCCGGGAAAAGTCAGCTATACGTGAGCTGATTCTGACCCCCCCCCCTCTGCTATCCCCCCCCCGTTCGCCCGGCCCGAAGAGCCGCCTGCAGGAGCCTAGGCCTCCTGGATGGGGTCCGAGCAGATGGGGTCGGAGGATCGCGCCACATCGCCGATGCATCGCCGATGCGGCTCGATGTGGAGCCCGTGTTTCCTCACGCCGACGTCGCCGATGTATCGCCGATGTATCGCCGATGCATCGGCGATGCATCGGCGATGCATCGGCGATGCATCGGCGATGCATCGGCGATGCGGCGTGATCCTTCGACCCCCATCTACTCGGACCCCCATCTAGGAGGCCTCTAAGGAGGCCCTGCCCGACCTATCAGTGCCCCTGATCATGCCGCTCCCGGTTTTGCTGCTGGCGCAACCATCTGATGATGATAACATTAAGTCGGGCCTGTCCCCCGACAGGGGGATCTTTGAGGAAAAAAAACATACCCCCAAAATAGTCCAAACATAATCCTAACATAGTCTGGGGACTATGGTTTTGAGTCTTTGTTTAAACCTTGTTGGGGCATGTTGGGGGTATTTTTATTTGTCGAGAGTCCCCCTGTAGGGGGACACGCCCGACTTACACCTAACAGTGCCCCTGATTGTGCCGCTTCCGGTTTTGCCGCTGGCGCAGAAGCATCCGATGATGACAACAGAGCACGGCGCGCCTCGAGGCCGAGAGGCGCGGCAGGAGGGCCCGCCTCCAGGTGCCATGCCGGACGCGTCCTCCTCCTCCTCCTCCTCCTCCTCCTCCTCCGCCTCCTCCTGCTCCTCTCCTCCTCCTCCTCTCCTCCTCCTCCTCCTCCTCCTCCTCCTCCTCCTCCTCCCTCCCTCCTCCTCCTCCTCTCCTCCTCCTCTCCTCCTCCTCCTCCTCCTCCTCCTCCTCCGCCTCCTCCTCCTCCTCTTTCTCCTCCTCCCCCCTCCCTCCTGCTCCTCCTGCCTCCTCCTCCCTCCTTCTCCCTCCTTCTCCTCCTCCCTCCAGCTCCCTTCTCCTCGTCGATCCGACTCGATGTCGACTCCGGCCGGCCAGATCAGATTCGGTTCCGATGTTCTGGCGATCCAATTCTGCCCGACGCTGAGAGGAGGACTCGGTGCCCCTACTTCTTCCCTTCGCCCGTTGTCCCGTCGTTCGGCCTCCTGGGGGGCCCTCGTGGCCCCCGCGGGATTCGCCTCGAGACTCGGGCCAGCACGCCCCCCGGGAGAGGTCCAGGGAGTGGCGGTAGCGGTACCTCCCGGGTTCTCTCCAGACGCACGGTTACGTTGCATCTTCGGGGGGCCTCGCCTGTCCCCAAAATTGGTGTCGTTTTTTGCACCCGACGCGGGCTCGATGCGGACTCGGCGCGGATTTGGCGTGGATTCGACGCGGATTCGACACGGTTTCGACACGGATCCGACGAGTCCGACACGGATTCGACACGGATTCGACACGGATTCGACGCGGATAGGGCCGCGACGGGACAGACAGGGTCCCCCGAGGTTGCAACATAAGCATGGCGTGTTTCTGTGCATCCGGGCGCGGCCGAAGAACGGTCCGAGTCGGTTCCGACGCCGTGCCGACGTGGCCCGAGCCGAGGCACGCTCCGATCGGGCCCGATCTGTTTCGACGCGGTGTGCCGGCCGCTCTTGCCCTCCCCCCTGCCTGCGCAGGCCGCAGCGCGGGAGGACACCGGCGGGGACGCCGCAGTGCTCGCCGCAGCTGAACCCGCTGACGTCCCCCCCGATGCCGCCCACCGGGCAGACCGCGCCGCCCTCGGGCATCGAGCTCTCCGAGGGCGCGGAGGACGTGCAGGCCTTCGGCAGCCGCCTGGAGTGGGCGATCCCAGACGCGTGGGGGAAGCTGAGCAAGCTGCCCCAGGAGACCCGCGGGGCGCGCCTCTCCTTGAAGAGCGTGCGCGGGCACGCGTGCTGCGTCGGGCTCCTGCCCCTGCCCGTCGTCTCTCTCTCTCTCTCTTTCTCTCTCTCTCTCTCTCTCCTCGTCTCTCCTCGTCTCTCCTCGTCTCTCCTCGTCTCTCCTCGTCTCTCCTTTTCCTCCTCCTCCTCCTCCTCCTCTCTCCCTCTCCTCCTCCTCCTCCCTCCTCCTCTCCCCCCTCCCTCCACCTCCTCCTCCTCCCTCCTCCTCCCCCTCCTCCTCCTCCTCCTCCTCCTCCACCTCCACCTCCAATGTGGTCCCCCTCCCCCACGCACTCCCTGGGTGGCGCCTCCGGCGCCGCCGCCCGAGGGCGCCTCGGGCGGCGGGGGAGGGGCGGTTCGTGGGGAGGACGCCGGCCCCGCGCAGGCGAAGGCGCCGTCCTCGGACGTCTGGGGGCCCGGCCCTCGCCCGGAGTCGGCCCTGTCCCTCTGCAGGAGGAATCTTCAAAGATAGGCAGAAGATCATCATGAATAGCCAAAAAGAGGAATATCCAAAATAGCCAGAAGATAAGCATGAAGAGCCAAAAATATTCAAAGTAGCCAAAATAGGAATATTCAAAAATAGGAATATTCAAACATATGTCGGGGGCGGAAAAGAGGGGGGTGATGACTAGGGGGGGGTGGACATCATGGCGCGGGCTATGAGATTTCCCCAGATCTCATGGCGCCTCTTCTTATGGCATTACGTCCCTGACCCCCCCGCTGGGCCGCGCACATGCCGCCAGTCATGATTTGCACCCCCCCCTCTTGGACACCCCCCTCTTGGCCGCTCCCGATACAGGAGGAATCTTCAAAAATAGGCAAAAGATCATATGGGGACGATTGTTCAACGATGGTTCGATCATGGTGGGGGTATTGTTTGAGTATTTCTCACTTGTCGCCCAGAACCCGCCTGGGGGGACATGCCCGACCTGATCCTCGCCCCTGCCTGCATCTAGGCCTCCCAGATGGGGTCCGGGCAGATGGGGTCGGAGGATGGCACCGCATCGGCGGTGCATCGCCGATGCGGCTCGATGTGGAGCCCGTGTTTCCCCACGCCGGCGTCGCCGATGCATTGCCGACGTCGCCGATGCATCGCCGATGCATCGGCGACGCAGTCGGACCCCATCTAGGAGGCCTCTACCCCAGGACTTCAGCGTCACTTCTTCCATGTTTGGCATCAAGCACTGCCCCAACATGCAGCTTGCGTTCTACCCCAACGGGAACAGGGCGGCGGAGCCAGGGCACTGCACAGTGGCGCTCACCCGCGGGCCCCAGTGTGCAGGCATCAAGTTCGAGTTCTTGGTGAATGGGCGGGGAATCGGGCCCAAGGTGTGCCTTGGACGCCGGTATCTCGGCGACTATCCGAAGCCGTACGACGACTCTGATGCGAGCAAGCCGCAGAAGGTCGTCGTCTGCATGCAGATCCTGGAAGTGCTGGGCACCCCAGCGGACTGAGCGGGCCCCGCGAGCTGAGAGGGAGTGCGGCAGGGCGTGTCTTCTCGGCTACTCCTGTAAGCCCCGAAAAGAGGAGCGGCGCCCCCCGAGATCTCAACACGGTCGAGGCGCTGAAGCACCAGGGGCACGTTGGGCTCAGGATTGGCTCCCGTGTCCGGGCCGTTCCCAGGACCTCGAAGGAGAACAAGTAGGGGGCCACATGCGAACCCTCCCCCTCCCCCTCAGAAATCGTGGGGGGCAGGGGTAGGGTTCGCATGTGGCCCCCTAACAAGCGCATAAACATAGACTTCTGGCGCTCCGCGCGGATTTCTCGGATCCGCGCGGGGCTCCCCCTGCGGCGCCTCAGGCGCCGCCTCTTGTGCGCTCCGCGGGCCAGGGAGGCGGGTCCAGCGCATATCTAAGAAATCCGCGCGGAGCGTTAACACTTTCTGTATATGACATGTTTTCTTCTAGCCATCGCCAGAATAAGCCCGATCGTTCTTTGTTCAGCGTTCTGTCTAGGCCTCCCAGATGGGGTCGGAGTAGATAGGGTCGGAGGATGGCGCCGCATCGTCGATGCATCGGCGGTGCGGCTCGATTTGGGGTCCGATGTTCTCCACGATGGCGTCGACGATGCATCGCCGACGTCGCCGATGCATCGCCGATGCACTGGCGGTGTATCGCCGATATACCAGCGATGCGACGCGACCCTCCGACCCCATCTTTCCGACCCCATCCAGGAGGCACCTATTCTGGTGGGACGATGACATTATATTAAGTCTGCTTGCTCGGCCAGGTTCCGCGCCAGGGTGAGTTGGTGATTTTGGGCAGGGTTGGGTGGGTGGCTGGCTGGTTGGGTGGGGCTCGGGCGGGGGCTATGTGATCTGCCGGGTTTCGATGGGCGGGTGAGTGATTGGATTTGGGTATGGGGATCGGTTGTGTTAGGTAGGTAGGAACTGCTTCCTCGTCCTCCCCCTCTCCAACGGGTGGGCTTGGGTAAGTGGGTCCGGTTCCCAGTGTCTGCATTGCCTCCGAGGCGCCATTGCGGACGTGGTGTTCTCGAGAACAGTCTGGCAGTTTCCGTCGTTGGGTTCGAAGCGGCCGAGATGCATATCAGGCTTCTCCTTTTCGTCCTCCTGGTGCTTAGAACCACCTCAACCTGCGAGCGTACTTGTTGCCTTTTCCCACGTCTCCAGCCAGAACCAGTTCATTTGCCACGCGCTGTGCCTTGGTCAGCCACGCACGGTTGCATGCTCAGCACGGCCAGACTCGTCGGCTTAACAGCAGACTCTCTATTGCTTGTTCGCATCATGTCGCCGCCACTCCACTCGGAAGCTGGCGCAAGCTCAGAGTCAACACGAGGGGCAGCCACAGTCCACGGTCCACAGTCACACAGTCCATTAAGCAGTCACATGGGTCAGATTCAGTTCGGTAATGATCATGAGCATGATGATTCTGATGGGGAGGAACAGGAGGATGAAGAGGAGGAGGAGGAGGGCCAGTTCAGCTCAGGCCATCTTGTTTCAGCCTGGCGTGGCTCAGCTCAGCGCAGCTCTTATCAGGCTGTGCTGGCCAACTTCAGCTCTGCCGTGTGAAACCTGTGCATCCGAACCTGCTATAACACATCGTGGCTTCTTTGTGCCCAGCTTAGCACTGCGTGGCGTCGTTCTTTGTTTAAGTTAGAGTAGATGTTCCGGCTCATCTCAACTTTTCAGCTCTGCCCAGCTCAATTAGTCACGTCACGGTCTGGCTCGCGTTGGCCTGGCTTGGCTCAGCCTTGTCGTGCGTTCTGGACACCGATCGGGGCCTCTCCATGCTAGCAACAGGGAAGGGGACGTGTTGGGACACTCCAGGAATCATGACGCTTGCTCCTCCATCCTCCGCGCAGCCATCTTCAGGCAGGCTTTGGACAAACATGGATCGCTCCAGAGCTTCCTGGATCGCTCTGGAACGGCCGCGGCGCCCGAGGCACCCTGCAACCCCTGGAGATTCTCGAGCTGTGCCGCTCCGATGTAGTCTTCGCCCAGTCTTCGTCGTGCATCCGCTGGGTGTTCAAAGTCATTCGCCCCTTCTGGACCGCGGTCGCCCAGCTTCCGCAACGTGGGCCGCAGGAATCCTTCCACCGCCGTCGAGGGCCGTCGATGGCGCGCCGAGCGCTGACGAGAACTAGGGGGCCCATGGCCGAAACTCAGAGGAGGTGCATGTACCCCGACCGCCATCCTTCTCTCGTCTTCCCCCTCTTGGGCCTCCCGGGAGGCCTCTGTCGCCACCGCTGGACTCGCCTCGAAGCCCTGGTCGGAGCGCACCCCAGGCGAGGTCCGGGGAGCGGCGGCATCGGTACCTGCACGGGTGTCCCCGGAGAGTGTCGCAGGGAGCTGGTGGCACGAGACGCGGCCGGGCCTGGCGAGAGCAGGGTGCGCACGTGGCCGGGTGCCTCCCCGGCGCGCGGCCCTGCCATGGCCGTGCACGCCTGCCCCATAGGGGGCCACACGCGAACCCTACCCCTGCCCCCCACGATTTCGAAGGGGGAGGGTGGGGCTCACTTCGCTCGGGAGCTCCCGAACGAAGTGAACCCCACCCTCCCCCTCAGAAATCGTGTGGGGTAGGGGTAGGGTTCGCATGTGGCCCCCCCCTCCGCAGGCGTGTCCAACGCGTGGTCTCCAGATGTCCCGCGCGCGAGTCTCGCCACGTGGTGGGAGCACACGGGCGGGACGGGCGCGGGAGGCCATCTCGGACGTCAAGATCTTCGTGCCGTCCCGAGAGGTGATGCTCTCGGTTGTGAGGAGGGGAGGGGGAGGGGGAGTGAGAAGGCCGTATGAGACAAAACTCTAATTTCAAGCCGTGCATAACACACACACACACACACACACACACACACACACACACACACACACACACACACACACACACACACACACACACACACACACACACACACACACACACACACACACACACACACACACACACACACACACACACACACACACACACACACACACACACACACACACACACACACACACGCACACGCACACGTACACGCACACACACACACACACACACACACTTATGGGTGTGATCAAAGGGGCGCCAGCAAATCCTCATGGCTTCGCCCGCTTCTGTGCTCCTTCTCCTCCCTCCTCTTCTTCCCCTTCCTCCCTACCTGACGTCGCGTGCAGTTTACGTCCTGGCTGGTGATGTGCTGTGATGCTGCTATTGGGTCGCTGCTTTGGCCTGGGCGGTACAGTCGGGGCCCTGAAGAAGGAACCCTTTTCGTTGGGGAGGGGCTCCGCGTTCCTTACGTGTTTCACAGCTTGCCTCAGGTTTTCTTTATGTTTTCGATAGGAAGTCGAAGTTTACCTTGTGGAAAAGGGGCCTCGTTCCTTATTTAGGGTTCCTTAGGTCAACGCCCCGACTGTATATCAAGCCATGTAATTGTTGTTGAGTTTCCAAGTGATGGCGCGGCAGAAGCACATTCTTCTTCCATGGCGGGAGACGGTCGGGTCGGACGAAACGCCATGGGGAGACTTGGAAAGGGGGAGACAGCTTCTGCCTGTAGCTGGTAGCTGGTTTCGGCCCCGCTGCCCAGAGCTTTCCTCTATACATTCGCGGCTTCAGCGCCGGTCCATCCCGAGAAAGGTAGGGAAGAGATTTTTGGGGGATTGCGCTCTGATTCGCCGAGGAGACGGTCAGCTTAGTGCGGCACTCACTAGCTGCTGCAACAGTGCAACAGTGCGTACATGCAGCACGGGCGCCAAGGTTTGGTGAATCTCCCCGCCTCCATCCTGTCCTACCACCACCCCCCCCTCATCGTCTGAAGGCGCTCCGGGCGCATCACAACGCCGCAGGAGGAGGGAGGAGGCAAGAGGAGGCATATCAAAGAGGGGAGCAGGTGAGATGGCCTGCGAAGGGCCGCAAGCCAGCTTAGTGGGCTGGCGCAAGGCAGGGGCCTGCGGGAGTGCACGATACTCGCACGCTCGACCTGCGGCCTGTGCCTGCACCAACGCCGCAGTGCAACCCTCGTCCCCACCAACAGACCTAAACACACCCTCAGTCCCATCCCGTCAGCGTCCCCCCGAATCACTCCTCTCTCAAATCAAGTGGCCGGCATCGGGTCGAACAAAGAAACGACGACCGCGTCGTGGCTCTTGGCCACTCGGGAGGGGGAGGGGAGGGAGGAAGGGAGGGAAACCAAATAAAGATAGAGCCGAGAAGGAAGAGTGGGACTGGGACGCACATCTCAAACCTCCAGCCTCGGAAGGATGGCAGCAACGAGCGGAAGGGAAGAGGCTGGAACGCATACCGATCACCTCCGGAACGCTGTGTCCCTTGCAAATACTGGCTGCCCAAATTCAGGTAGGCAGGCACAGAGGGGATGATGGTAGATGAAACCGAGAAGAGAGAGCGAGACTGGGACACATATCCTAAACCTCCACTCTCGGAGCAGCAGAAAACAAGCGGGGTCGAGGCTGGGACACATCTGACTGGCAGCCGCCATCTTCTGCACGTAGTAGCCAAAGCGTGACGACTATGTATCCAGGAATTCCAACAACATTCCCACACCGATCCTCCCACACCACCATCCAATCCCTCCGCCCACCTATCATGGACGTGTGTGACAGCACAGCACGTCGACCACACGAGAAACTCGCTGATCAGGACGTGGAAGGAGTGGGCAACACGACGTCTCGGACACACATGCTGCATGCTCACGACTGCATCCTGCAAAACGCGGAAGGAGCAAAGGCTAGGACCACATCTCCTATGCAGTACAGCGGGGGAAGAAGGGTGGTTATCTTCGCACCCACGCGAGGCACCGACGCGACTGTTATCGCGCTATGCCGAGGGGGGAAAAACGTGGCAGGGCCATCTGCTGATCAGTCGAGCCTCCTTCTCCTAGGGCGGGGGCTCTGGACAGACCAGTCTTGCCATTCTCGGGAGGCCGCGATACTCGCAGCCAGAAGCGCATCAGGATCGGCCAGGGTGCGCGTGAGTGGCGGGGGAGTGGGCAGAAGCCCCGGCTGCACCCACATACGCACGTGCCGAGCAAACAGATCATCATTAACAATGGCAGAAACATCGAGCAGCTGATGATATGGGCTCGCAGCGAACAATAGGAGTAGAAACTACTGGGATTCGCTGCACACGGGCCCATTTCCACTGCAAGCCGAATCTTTGAACGGGCGGGCGGCTGGAGGGCTACAAAATCATACGCTCACGGCAAACTGCATTGCTCCGGGCGCCAGCCGTTTGCTCCGGGCTCGGCGGCTCACGAGCGCGACCGGCCGCCGCAGCAGCAAACTCCGGAGATCCAGCAGCAGCAGCAAGCTCCCGCGCGTCCAGCGGGCCCGCAGCCCCCAGCGGGTCGCCCTGGGCCGCTGCATGCGGCAGGGCTGGCTCGCCGGGATGTGCCCGCTGCGCCATGTAGGTCCCGTCGTTTTGGCGGGATGCTAATGGGGGGATAAGTCGAGGGGGGGAGAGAGGCGCAACCGAGGTACAAATTGTACCAACGCCCCACGGAGAAGGTACAATTTGTACCGACGCCACCCAGACAACTTACAAATTGTATTTTTGACAACGTCCGCGACATGTGCGAGGATGTTAACGGGGTGGAGAAGGTAAAACTTGTACTTGCAACCCGCAGAGAAGGTACAACTTGTACCCCAACAAAACGGTACCGGATACTCATCCCCCCCATCGCCATCCGGCCGATCGTTGTTTTTGTGCAACTTGAACTGGGCCCACTTGCCTAGGAAGGCTGCAACATCCGTATCGCCCTCATCTTGCATGAGGGAGTCAAGGCGAATCCGCCACATGGCCGCGAACTCGTCAGGAAGGCGAGCCACGGGAACAGGCCCTCGGCCGCGCAAGACTTTGGCCAGCGCCACCATCAGCAACGGGGCCGCAGCCAACGCCGAGGGCGGGGCAGCCACCACCTCCGCCAGCGCCGGTGGCGAGGCAGCACGTTCCAGTGCCCCCGGAGACGCAGCGCCATCGGGACGCGCAGGCGGTCCGGCACAAGGCAGAACGCGCTCATCCTCTCGAGCGTCATGGGCGGGTGGCGGCATGTCATCGATCTGGACGCCCGAGTGAACCTCAAGCCGAGCTGGGGTAGTAAAGTCCATGGTCGCTAGCATGGAAACGCGGCCGTGCTTGAGTTCCGCCTGCTGGGAGCCATCGAAATTGTCACTGCAGCGATCTGCCGTAATACAGGCCGGGTCCCATAGTTCCGCACTCGGTGCCCGCAGGTCAGGACGATCGACACGGGTACAGAAAGAACGGGTACGATGCCCGACAGCAGTTCTTGTTCATTTTGAACAGGACTCGCTGTTCGCGCCGCCGCGGACGTTGATCTTTGAAAGCAAAGAGCCGCCTGCCCAACAGCGGTCGCTGTCGGTTTCGGACAACGTTTGTTGTTTTGCATTGTACGTATTTTTTCCTTACCCATTTCGGGCGTCCAAAGCAGGTCACCCTCCTCCAGGGAGGTTTCGGGTTTGCACCCTGGCGCTGGGCCAGTTGAGGCACTCCCCCGGCTTCGGGGTCTGCGCACTGGCGCTCGGCCAGTTGTGGCACTCCCCCAAGGCGGTCCCCACGGACGGCCCCGCACGATGGTTGTATCCGTGCTCCGAGCGACCGAGGATACGCGAATTCTGTGGAGTCGACCGTGCTGTCATATTCATCAGACGAGCCGGCATCAACATCAGGGCCGTCCTCAGCGTCGTCATCCGCTGGCGGCGGCGGCTCAGGCTGCGCGCGCTGGCGGCGGCCCGACCAACGGCAGATTGGCGCCACTCAGCGTCGTCAGCCGCGGCGGCCGCGGCGAGGGCCACCAGATCGGCGCGCTGGGCGCCGGGGGCGGCAGCGTTCCGGGCAGCCAGCACCAATCGGCCTCGGCTACCTTGGCACCCGCAGCATCACCATCCGCATGTACAGGACCGGCATCATGGTCACGAAGTAACACACGTTGATGGTCGTCCGGTGGCGGCACGTCATGCTGCCGCACAGCAGGTGAAAGCAGAACGGGACTGGGAACCAGCGCGGCGACCGCGTTGCGACGTCCTGCATGTGCGGGCGGCGGCCGACGCGGGCCGCGTAGTCGAGTCTCCGCGCAGGGGCACGGAGGTCCGGCCTCGGCTGGCTGCAGCAGCGCCGGCCGGAGAAGCCTCGTCGCACGCGGCTAGCGCTCCACTCGCCTGGGCAGGGCGAGGCGAGGCGGCTGGCGCGCATGGCAGCCAGCCCCGCGCGAGGTGCGCTGCTCTTGGGGCAGTTCCAAACACCTCGATCCGGGGCGGCGGCTTAGGGAAGACGAGGAGGGAGGGGAGGGAGGGCATGGGAGGGCATGGGTTTGGTTAGCCCACTCTGCTCACGAACTTTTCTGACGAATGAATGCCAGCGTGAAGCCCAATCGGTGAGTTTGAGTTTTGTGGGTCGTCTTCATTATTCGAGGAGCTATCATGGAACTCGTTTGGGCCGTCTTGGGGCTGTCGCGGTCTCCTGTGGGGCAGTCCTGGGGCTCTCTTGGACAGTTATATGGCTCTCTCACGCTATCTTGGGCCGCTTTGGGTCCCTCTCGGCCGTATGGTTGGTGTTTGGGAGCCATCGTGGGGCAGTCTGGGCGTCGTCTTGGGCCGTCGATGGGCCGTCTCAAGCCGTCTTGGGGCCCACGGGCCTCGTGGGCCATCTTGGTGCCGTCTTGGATACCTTTTTCAGGCCACCGTCGAGTCATCTTGGGTTACTTATTCGCTTCGCTCATTCCGCTGGCCCGTATTGGTGCACGGCT